TATTTTTATATGCTTTCTTTATGGTGATATTTTGCTTGAGCAAGTTGATTTTTGCCTATCATAGTGAAGTTGTAGTTTTCACCATTAATTTAATAATATCTATAATGAACTGTCACCATTTATTATACGCAATATGATGATAATTTTTTGTTTTGATTGATGTACAAAAATGTCTAATGATATAATATTAATATTTAATTCTTTTGTTTTTTGTTGGGCTATTACATTACATTACATTGGATTTGTTTTATATGTTCTACTACATTGGTCTGTTGCATTAAATTAGGGAAAATATTTTATGGATGCTTCCACACCACCTTAAAAGTCTATAATGTTTTTAATATCAGAAGATGCATTTCTGAACATATTTATTTTTATCATTTTTCAGTCCGAATTGAAGAGATGCCCCTCTGACGTTAAAATTTAATCAGGAGATGCATCTCATCTCCGTATGTATTAAAAGTGCGTTCGAAAATGCATCTATGTAAACACTATTTATTCAAAAAATATGTAGGTGGTACGAAGATGCATCTCCAGACACTTTTAATACATATCTCGCGCCATAACCCTTCTCTCTTTCTCCTTCTTCATTTTCTAAAAAAGTTCTCATAAAAACACATTTGAGTTCTCCTTCTCACAACCATTGCATTGAAACATTGAAGTAGTGCATTGCAACATCACTGGAGCTATTTCTCCTCCTTTCCATCATCTCATAACATCAAAATATCTCCTTCCTTGTGGTTAAGGTTGATCTAGCCAAGATTTATGCAAACTCAGTTGTAGTTTTGTTTATAATGTCCTTCAAGAAATTGGTTTCCCTGAGAGTATAATAAGACTAATCATGGCTGGTATATCTACTATTATCATGAGTATTATATGAAATGGAAAGGGGACTAGATATTTCAAATTAAAAAGGTCAAAGACAGGGAGACCCTATATCCCCTACATTTTTGTCTTTTGTATGGAAAAGCTTTCGCATATGATAACTGAGGCGGTAGAGAAAGGTGACTGGATTGGCATCAAGACTGGGAGGAAAGGTCCAATTATCTCTCACTTAATGTTTGTTGATGACCTCCTCTTATTTGGTAAAGCAACCAAAATCAATTGATTTTTGTAAAAAATGTTATGGAAATTTTTTACAAGCTATCAGGGTAGAGGGTTAGCAATGAGAAAACTCATATTCTTTTTTCTAATAACACTTCTATTATTGTGAAAAAAAGAGTTTATTCTTATTTCAGGCTATAAGAAAACTAAGAATTGGAAAAGTATATCGGAGTCTCTATAATAGGTAAATCCCCTAGCCATAAATATTTTAGGTACCTTATGGAAAATGTAAAAGCTAACTTGTCTAGTTGGAAGGTGAAACATTTGGCCTTTAGAGATAGAGTTATCTTAGCTAAATTTGTTGTTGAGTCTGTCCCAACATACACAATGATGTCATGTGGCATGCCTAAAGAAAGTCTTAGGGAAATCCAAAAAACCCAAAGGTCCTTTATTTAGGGAGACTCTGATGGAGAGAAGAATATACACTTAGTCAATTGAAACACCATTTCAAAACCAAAAAATAGGAGGGTTAGGAATGAAAGACATTGTTGCATCTAATAAAGCTTGCCTTCTCAAGCTTAGCTTGAGGCTTATGATCGATGACAATACTTTGGTTCCAAGTCATTAAAGGAAAATATGATAGGAATATCAATAACTTCAAAGAGGTAACTACCAAGAATACTGAATCAAGCCTCTAGAAGTCTATTGTGAAAGAATGGCCTGCTATTCATGCCTTATCATATTGGGATATTGGTGTTGGATAAAAAATAAATGTGTGGATAGACTATTGGGCACCATCAAGAGTGCTGCTTGGTAAGGTTATCACACATCTTTCAAATGATATCCAAGTAGAAAAAGTAACTGATCTAACTATAGATAATGGTGATTGGAATATGGAGATGATATCAAATATTTTCCCTAAAAACAACATTGACGAAATTCTTGCCATTCATCCTCTAGACCCGATAATGGAAAAGATATGTGTCGATGGAGAGGAGCTAGGAATGGAGATTATTCAATTTCTAGTGTATATGATGTGTTTCAAAATGATAACAGGAGTTCTGATTATGACAAAGATTTGAAGAGCATATGGAGATTGAAAACTCCTGAGAGAGTTTGAGTTTTCATCTGGTTGGTTAAGCATGACAGACTCATCACCAAGCTTAGGCTTAGCAAAATGAATCTAACTACTCCTTTATACAAAGAATGCATGGATTTTATTGCATAAGTGATGCATGTCATTAGAGACTGTGAAGTTGCAAAATTTGTGTGGTGCTCCCTTGTTAGAGTAGTGTGTTGGGTTGAATTTCTGTGTGCAGGATTGCAGGAATAGATTAAGATAAATCTGCATAACAATTATGGTTATTACGAGCAGGAAAATGGGAAGGTTTATGGGCCACTGCGAGTCATTCCTTGTGATATTGTAGAAATAAAAGAATCCACTGATGCCAATTGACTTAGTAGGTGATATCAGGAGTAACTTACTCCAGTATAATACTAGTCTTACTTTCCAGCACCGTGCCGGTATTTAGAAGATGATTGTCTCCTAAATTTATTGGAATCTGCCCCGTGAAGATTGGCTTCAAACTAGTGTATATGGTGTTGTGAAAGCGCATGGCAAAGCAAGTTGTGGAGGATTTGTTCAGGAGAATGCAGGGAGTTGGCTTGGAGGTTTCTCCAAAAACATTGGTGTTTGCACCGCCACTATAGCTGAGTTATGGGGATTTTCTAAGGTCTCAAATTCACGTTAGACAAAGGCTATCGAAGAATAAAAGTCATGACATATAGCAAGAAGGCAACTGACGTAATAAAGAGTGATTGCCCAAGTATAAGTGGAGGCTAGGGTCTTCTCCAACAGATAAAGAATTGGATCAATAGTGATTGGGAAATCTGAATTATTCATGTGTATCAAGAAGTTAATAATTGCACAAACGCAATGGCCTACTTGAGTATGAACCATGATCTTGGGTTTAGACTTTAGGAGTAGTGTCTACTGAAATTCTATCATTAATCTTATATGATGTAATAGGGTTACGACTCCTAGAGATATTTTTGTTTTGTTTAGTTTTCTTTGGACTTTGGCCTCTCTTTAAAAAAATCCATATCACCTGCACTTGCTAAAAACATTATTTGGTTAATCCACCTGAAGTTGGTCAGGAGGGATCACAAAAACTCAAGAATTTTTCGTGTTGGAGGTGTTTTTAGGGGAGGCATGGAGTGATGGTTATTGTTTGACTGTTCAAGATTTTCCATGTCTCCTCTTTTTTTTTTGTTATTCATCGCTCTCCCCTTTTTGTTTGGTCTCAAAGAACTTTTTATATTGCAAGCATTGCCCCTATGGATAATGAAGAGACGTGGTTTTAATAGGTTTTAGTAATCATTAATCATTTGTAACAGACTCAATCATTAACTATTTTGTAACGGATTCGACCATTGATTGTTCTAGGGATACATAATGGCTTCGTTTTGGATGGTCCTTCAAGAACTCGACTAATTGAGTCTGGGATATGCACAGAACTTGTCGTCTGACCTTATAAAAAATTCCGAGATGTACATAAGCCCCCAAAGCACGAGGCATGTAAGGGTGAAATGTTGAGTTTATCCTGGATCACGTAAACTTGTCATAATCATGTTTTAATCGAGTAAACTCCTTGTAAATCCATAGTCTTAGTGATGGATAAATTCCTTAGGGATTCACCATTGCGTATATTGGTAAGGTTTACGACTCTAATGAAGAAGTCGGAGAACCCCGGTGGATTCACGATATAGAGAAATCAGAGAGCCCATGTGGGATCTCAATCCTTTGAAGTCATAGAACATGGTATGTTATAGACACAGAGAAGTCAGAGAGTCCTAGTGGTATCGAACCAAAGGATTTGCTTCAGCTTGGTACTGCGCCGGAAATGATTTCAGTTTGATGATAAACATGATTGTTCCCATAAGAACTATTAACGGTAACATTAAGAGTTTTGATATCAGAAATATTATTTGGTGGATGGCAATTGAAGTTATGCGACCAGTCAGTCGTGAAGTCAGTCTACTGATATTTGTGCAGTTGTCAAAAAATCACAATGGTAATGATGTCGATGCTAGTGAGCCCCGAAACAACCGTCAACATGAGGGACCTTCATTGCAAAATTACATCACACACATTGAGATCGATCTCAGAACCAATTTCCATCGTTAATTTCTTAAAGTGATCACAGGATTTAAAAATCAATTGAATGCAAATAAAAAACTTATTTGTATAAAAACTATCGCCCCAATAGTGTAGTGGGGATGAACTTCATATGATATATTGTCGCCTAAAAGCCGGAAAGATCGATGGGAACCGAATGGGGTGAACTTCATATGACATATTGTCGCCTAAAAGCCGAAAAGACCTATGGGAACTGAATCTCTTCCACTGGGTTTTGTCGATTCCTCGTTTCCTTCTTCATATGGTGCTCCAAGCCTTGCAAGTGATGGCGTATGTGATGCGCTGGAAACCGAGTACATAGTCGGCGTTCCCATTGTGTGTCCGACGTTAACTTTGGCAAAACTTGGTCCACTAAGATTGATCGAGTTTGGAATCGTTTTAAGAGAGTGAGCTTTCAGATCTGATCGATGTCAAAACCTGGTAGATCTGAGTTGCAGATGTATAATAGTTAGACAGTTTTTTACCACCCGTATGGAGATCTTTCACGTTATCAAAGTTGAAAATGATTGAAACATCAACTTGATTGAACGGAGTAACTCACTATTAATGCCCGATCTTTCGTGAGCATAACATGAAGATCTAAGTTGCAGATATTGTTGCTAAAAATATCATTTGATTAATCCCCTGAAACTGGTAAAAAGGGATCACACAACTTCACCGGGAGTGACAACCATTGTTGGATTGTTCAAGATTTTCCATGTCTCGTCTCCTTTTTATGGTTTGTTCAAGATTTTCCATGTCTCGTCTCCTTTTTCTGTTATTCATCGTTCTCCTTTTTGTTTGGTCTCAAGAATCTATTTATATTGCAAGTCTTGCCCCTATGATATTGAAGAGAAGAAATTTTAATAGGTTTTAGTAACAGATTCGGGCCATTGATTGTTTCAGGGAAATCATAATAATGGCTCCGTTTTGAATGGTCCTTAAAAAATCCAACAAATTGAGTCCAAAATATGCTGAGAACTCGTCATCCGAACTCATAAAAATCCTGGAATATACATTACCTATATACCCTTTTGTTTCTATAGAAAGAAAAAAAAGATTAAACTGTAGATTCGTAAAATGAAATTGCTACATGTGTATTCATGTAATTACACACTCTTAACGCACTAGTAGCTTATATCCTAATTTATGCATCTAAAGTGTGAAAAGATACACAAACAGTGTGAATGCTTGACACTACATACACTCAATTCATTTCTATTCAAATGGGTGCTGCCTTTTCATTTTCATTTAACAGAGCAAAATTGCAAAAAAAAAAAATGATGCATTTCAGACAAATTCAGTAAAAAAAAAGAAAAAAAAATCAAGAATCATAATCTCCGCCGCACAAAACAAAATCATCCTTTATCCCTTTATTTCTTTTAAGGAGAGGAAAGTAGCAAAAAGTATCAACAAACTATCAAGTACATAAATAACATTATTATAAATCAGATATGTCATCATCTACAACACATACATACGAAAAGTACAGAAAGACAAGGAACATAAAACCTAAAAAAACACATAAAGATAAACAGAAAAAATGCATGGATCGAGATCTCGTTTACCCAGTGACGATATGAACGCCAACGACAACGAGTAAGATAGTGATAAGACCAAAGTAAATGATGGCGTGAACAAGAATGGAAGCGCCACTCGTTTGCATGTTTCCGAACTCGATTATTCTTCCTCTTCCTGGTATTTGAAACAGCAGACCCGGACACAGAATCACGAACAACACCACCGCTATCACCACGGGACCCCAATCAGCCATTTGAAGATGCGCACGAGTACGGAAAGGAGGGAATTGAGAATGGGAAAAGGGAGGGTTTGTGTGAGAAGGGTTGTGGTTGTCGAGTGGAGTAAGATATGGAATTGTTTAAGAGGAGGAGTAGAAAAGAGACGTTGAGGGTTTCGGGAAACACAGAAATGATAACCATCTGTGTGACACGTGGCAGACATATTTTCAGTATTGTTTCGACCTCTCAAACGCCTCTCTCGCGATACGGATTCCGGAGATGAAAAACCGTGGGCTGACCCAAACTGGGCTGTTTGAGAATTAGAGGGTCAATCGGGTCACTTTTTGCGGGTGATCGGGTCTTTGGTTAAAACTTTGAACTGATACAATTGTGTTGACTGAGATTGCACTTCCATAAAAAATTCTTGAAAATCGGGTCACTTTTATGGGTGATCAGGTCCTTGAAAAGTAGTAGAAACAGCTTAATGGAAAGTGAAAACCATCTTGAAAATTTCCAAAGCCATTAATATTCCAATTTGTAGAAACAAAACAAATAACAAAGCCAAATCACAATGTCAAAACACTTCTGTTTTACAACTAGAATTTTTTTTCAAACTATTCTTGTTTTTCACCATATATTAGATTTATTTGTTTGTTTAAAATTTGTTCATACAGATTAAAAAATAATATTATCATAAAATATTAATATATTTTTATTAAATTAATCTTACAAACATATTAAAATAACATACATAATAATAATTCAAGTATACAATTAAAAAAATAATTATAATTTTTACGTTGAAAAATGAAAATGATATTTATTTTAAAATAAATTATAGTAATTTTAAAATAGAGAGATAAATATTCTAAATTTCTCTCTTAAATCCTAAATTATCCAATTTAAAATTTTTTAAAAGAGAATAGTGCTTCTTTTTATCACATGACCTTTTTAAATGTTTGGTCTAGTCTAAAAGTCAATTTTACTTTAAAACTTTCAAATAGTCTATTTTATTTATAAAGTCTTATAGGTTGATATATAAAAGCTAACATGTAAGGGTTCATAGATTTTTTTAATAGCTAAAGTATGACATATTTAATTAAATAGTCTTTCAAAAAAACCTAAACATTTTTATTAAATAAGTTAGGCCTTAAATAAACTAGATTATAGGTCTCTGTAGACCGATATAACCTATTTTCATGCCTAATTACGACTAGAATAGTCACTTTGGAGAACTAATATGAATCTTTTGTACGAACTCTCTTAAATTATACTTTCTATATAGTGCATCATCAATCACTCTCTCACACACATAACAAAATAATATCTTATATTTACACGATTTTTCTTCTTTAAGGTTTCTTTGAGGCATCATGTTTTTATTAAGCTAAAGAACGACTTTAAAAGTGTCACTAATCAATCCCTCTTCTTGTGACATTTATATCTAACTCACCAATATCAACTGAGTTTTTATCGTATATCATATGTTCAACTTATAACCTTTTCATAACTTTTTATCTCGGGTTCAACTTACAACTTTTATATCTTTATCAATTCAAAAGAACATGACTCTCTTAGTTTTACAATTACAGATCAGAGTTATAACAATGAATTACACAAATTACTATTTAAGTAGTTACTCTTTGTTAGCCTGAGATTTTTGACTCAAGCATATTCAACACGAGTGGAGATGTGAGATAAATTTGCAGGTGTTAGCTTGAGAATTTGAACTTCAATTCTCGAAATAAAAAGGTGTAAGAAAAGAGTGAAAATGCTAAGTACAAGATGACCAAGTTAGAGTTTCAACATATTGATCATTTCGACTAAGGTGGTGAGTTCGACTCGCCTACCAAGTGTGGTGAGACTTAGCGTATTCTGGAGTCTATGGATTGGATAACCTAGAAACCCACTAAGCTTGGTTTGGAGGAATATTGAGAACAAATCCACAAGATTAAGGAATCTCAGGAACTGATCCACAAAATTAAGATCATTCTCTCTTCAAAACATGTTCATAATCTTGAAAATGTTTGTAGTGATTTAGTTCATTCGACGAGGAAAACTAGAGGACTTGAAAACGTTTTTGATAGAAGCAGTTAAAAGATGTAAGATTAGTTGCCGACCTGGATAGTAGTTTAGAGGAAGTTCAAAGACTAAGGACACATGGAAGAAAAGCAGAGAACAGAGGTCCACTGATACATATCAAGCTCTAGGGTGGTAACCGTTATCAACGATTGTTGATGTTTAATACATAAGTTGATTTCATTTGTATAATCAAGGTTCACAAATTTTATCATTAATACTTATACAACTCAAAGTATTCAAGTCATAGAGAGAAAAGAGTTTCTGAGGAGAAATGTATGAATCTGCGTCCCTTTTATATTTTTTTAATCCAAGCATTCAATTTATTTTACTTTCATTTGTGTTTGTTGTTTATTTTGTCCCGTCGAACAATCCTGTATTGTTTTTATTAGAATTTCTATCCAATTTTTCTATATTTAAACATCAATACTCAAGAACAAACACTTTTTCTTCAAACTATTTTGCACAAGTTATTCATAAGATTTTTTTGAGTTTAATCCGTTAAGTGAACTAAAACTTCTGATTTGATTTACTGAAAACACTAGTAAGCAAATTTGCATGCCCGGTGGGACCTTTTTATGTACAAATCAAGTTTTTTTGCAGAAAAGTTTATGCGTGTTTATCTGTGTTTGATGTTGTTATCAATGTCTTCAATTGTTGAGTGTTTATGCATTTGAGGACTATTAAAAATCTTATTGAGATGAATCGTCCAACATTGAAAAATCTCTCCTCCCCATAATAATGTTCAAAATATAGAAGAACAACCAGCTGAATTGATTATTGGTAATGAAGGAACTTCAACGTTCGTTGGAGTAACCACCTGTGTTATAAGCCAAATGTCAGTTTTAACGATATTACCAGAAGTGACGTTTTCCCACCATATTCAGGGAGTATTCCAACTACTCACAGGGTCACAAAAATGATTATAGGATAGCATATGCCATATTTTATCCCAATATTTTACCTTACCCCTTTGTAGTAGGGAATATCTATATGGCATGTCAACTGCAATGATAGCAAGCTTACAAACTAGCGCATCTACGTTTTCTAATAATTCAATTTCTATTGTGTCAACTCTTAATCCGTACTTATTGTTAGAATCTACTATAAGAAGTCCTAATAGAATGGCACAACCACAAGGAGGGTTAGGGTATACCCCTTAAGTTATGCCACCCTTAACTGTTAATCCTCTCTTGTCTGTGAGGCAACAAATGGATAAGAGTAACCATGATATGGTAAACATGTTTACCCAGTAAATTAGCATTGTGTTTTATCCTTTGATCCAAAACACAAACCAGTTACCAACATTTGGCATATCAGATGAGTCGAATTACTGATTTTTTGAGTGCTCCTCAAGTGTCTATTAGACCAATCCCTCAAATTCAAAATGTTAAGACAGTCTAAAACATAGGAGTGCCAAACAATATAAGAATTCCTAATAATGAAGGCTAACAAGTTATGCCCCAACAGGTCGAACAGTCATACCCAGGGTAATTGGGGATGACTTAGGTTGAAATGATCCAGAGGTAGCTTTGGTTAATAGAAATCAGGATGTAGATAGAGTAGTTAGAACTGTCTAACAAAACAATTTTGGAGGACAAAATAACGTAGCCAACATGGTCGAACAGATCTTAGCCCAAAATGGCCTTAGTGTTGGTCTTCATAGGCCTAATTTTATTTTTTTCCTTATCTGAGTATGTTTTGCAAACTGAACTCCCCAGAAGTTGGAAAGTTTCTCAACTTACTAAGTTTGCAAGAGAAACTAATGAATCCATTGTCATACATGCCGCTCGATACCAATCAGAGGCATGTGATTTGACTAATAATGAGAACTTGAAAATGAAGTGCTTCTCTAATTCTTTAACTAAGAATGCCTTCACGTGGTTCACCAACTTACCTTAAAATTTTATATTTAATTAGAATAAGTTGGAAAGGGTGTTATATGACCCATTTTACATAGGTCAGTTGAAGATAAGCCCGGAGGAGTTATTCGGTATGAAACAAAAATTGGTTGAATCAATAGATGATTATCTCAATAGGTTTATAATAATGAAGTCGAGGTGCTTCACTTAAGTACCTGAACATGAGTTAGTAAAATTGGTTGCAGGAGGTTTAGACTATTCCATTTTAAATACCTAATACCTAAGGGATATGGACCATTTAGTCGATAAGGTTAGGCAAGTCAAATGCTTGAAAGGTGAAAAGACTAGGTCGAGTAAATATCATAAAAAAAGGTTGCTTATGTAACAATAGATGAAAATGATCAAGAATCCAACATAGTTTATGAATATCTTGGGGAAAATGATATTAATCTGGAAGAATAGCAGCCAGGACCTCCATATGTTTGTAAGGTCATACACTACAAGAAAATTAGGATTTTGCGATACAAAAATTGTGACAGTTACTTGATAACTGTCGTAATTCGTATATAAAGACAGTTGTTGCGACGGTTAACACAAATCTCCCTTACTTTTTTAAAAAATTAATAAAAAATTGTGACAGTTATCAAGAAACTTCCCTAAATTGAAGTTTACGGCGATCACAGTAACCGCCCTAAAACATTTATCACGATGGTACATCAACAGTCGCCCCTATACATTTTATCACATGCTTTGTACACTAAGCAGTTGAAACAACTTATCATATCCACGACGATGAACCAACCGTCGCGCCCCTGAAATTCATCAAAGGTTACGGCGGTGAACTCACCTGCCGCCCAGATAAACCATTCGCCCACCCATAAAGAATAAAGTAACCCTTCATGCACTAATTTCACTATTCCTTTTGGAAAATGGGAAAACCCCACCTCCTCACTTCCCTACCGGCAAAAGGAGAAGACATATATCTTCTCGAAACCCTCAGTGACTCCAATAGAAAAGATAATTGGGACAATTTCTTCACCATCGGCCCTGCTCTTTTGAATGGTACGCCGAATGGACTCACCTAAGGGACCCAC